CAGCCACCTCTCCACTGCCTCCCAGCACCCTGGCACCTTTGTATTCGACCACATGTTGCATTTTGGCATGGAGCAAGGCTGCCAGCTCCCTGGGACGTGTGGGGGTGGGGAGGAGGGCTTTGTGCTTGAGCCCTGCTGAGGAAAGAGGCCCTAATCTCTGCCTGGGGTCTCTAGGCAATACAACTAATTAACAGTAGGGCTGTTTGTAGTCGTGTAAATGATTAAGGAAGTGGGTCTGGCCCACGAAAGCTCATCATCTAATAAACCATCTTGTTAGTCTTTAAAGTGCTACATTGTCCTGCATTTTGCTTCAACTACCCCAGACTAACACGGCTACATCTCTATCACTAACAGTAGGGCTGTTTGTAGTCGTGTAAATGATTAACCGATACACCTACGGTTATCAGTTAATCCAAACGACTACACCCAACCCCCCTTGCTGCTTCTGTATTGTGTGGGGGGGGGGAGTGTGGTCCCACTCCCAGGGAGCTCCCTAAAACCCCACATTGCTGCCTTTGTATCAGAGGCAGCAGCGCAAGGTAACAGGAAGCCAGTCCACAAAGGAAGCTGGTTTTTAAATTGGCTCCCCTCACAAACCAGCTCCCACCTGATACAGAGGCAGCAACGTGGGGTGGCAGGAAGCTCCTCAGGAGGGGGCTGGCTGCCAGCCCCACCCCTGAGGCCCATCGAATAATCGTGTCACCGCTAAGATTTGATTGGTGCGGTGACACGATGATTAAATTAACGACCTCTAACATCCCTAATAAATAGCAGCGTCTGCTGGCTTTGCTCGTCTTGGGCTGTTCTCCTGCTTCCCAGGGCAGAGCCGCGCTCAGAAAGACCAGTGCATCTCAGTGTAACAGCGGGGAGCTAACCTCGGGGGCTTGTGAGGTGGCGCACGCCTGAGGCGAGCAGGGGGGCTGGAACCGTTTGCACCGCGGGGGTGCCGAGCGCCTCTGCACCAAACCCTGCATAGAATGGAAACCGCTTCGAGCCAGGGGTGCTGCAGCAGCACCGATGGGAGCAAGAGGGGCTGGCCTGGCCCTGGGCCTCATCTGGCACTGCCGTGAAGGAGGCCGCAGATCCCAGTAGCGGTAGCATATTTAGCACCGGCGTCTTTCCGGAGCCAGGCCGCAGCCGGGGCCTGTGTGGCAGCACCGCACTCAGCACCAGGCCACCAGGACGCAGTATTGACCGGGGCTCATGTTTTCAAAGCTTCTGCGCTGGTGAAGTTCAGCTCCGAGGGCCCTCCCTGTCCCGTTCCCCACGACTGAGCTGAGGGGACTAGCTTGGGGCAGCTGCCACTGGTGGCCAAAAAAAGCCAAGAGGCCTGCCTGGGGTGTGACGAGGGTGTGAACGCTGCGCAGCTCCCGTTGCACTGAAACTGGTTTTTAGAGGGGGGGTGCTGAGCGGCGCCCCTCCCCCACTTATCCCTCTTCATGCCCTGGACACAGCTGGGGATCGCTAGGAGCCAGAAATGGAGGCCTAGGAGCCAGGGTTGGCGGCCAGTTGCAGAGCCCCCGGGGTCAACAGCTGGGACCAAGAGGCCAGCAATGGAGTCTCAGGGTGGGGGGCCGGAGGTCAGGACCCTAGGTAACAGCAGAGGGGCTAGTGGCCAGGGACCTGGAGTCAGCAGCTGGTAGTCCATGTGGGGCTACGCTGGGTGCAAAGCTTAGGGGTGCTGCAGCACACTCCCCCCCCCCCCCCCCTACTTTCCATGCCTATGAGCAGCTCAGTGCAGGAACATCACGGAGGTGTGTGGGGAAACCAGACAGTGGTGCCCCTCCCTGAAGAAAGGACAAGCTTCATTCCACAGGGCTCCCCCGATTGCTGGGAATTTCATCCGGTGACACTGGAAAACGTGAGCACGACTCCCTCTCTCCTGAACAACACCCCCCGCACACTATGCCAGCCAGGCAGGGACACGGAGTCGGGGTTTCACCTGGTCTCTGCGCTACTCTCAGAGCGAAATGCTGCCCTCTTTGATCTGGATCATGTTGGCGGGAAGCAGCAAAACACCCGGCTGCGGAGCTGAAACTCTTTCTTCTTGGCCTGCGGGACGGATGTGACCAACCTGTAATCATTTAAGTCTCTGTTTAGGATTCTGTGCGCAAACATCCTGCTCCTATGCGAATACTAATGAGCTCTGAGGAATGTGCGGTACATCCAGCCTGCCTAGGAACGAACCTCTCTCTCCTTGGCAGGTGTTAATTACACAAAAGCCAGGAGGTTTGTTTGCCCAGGGACAAGGCACCCACCCCCTTTGGCATGAAGGAAGGGAATGCCGTGGGTTGGGAATGACTGCAGAGCACGTGGCAGACTCCTCTGTCAGAGAGGAATTACAGTGGTGTTAGTTTGTAGCCGCGCCTTCCTCCATGGCCTGTGCACCGTAAGACACCTCCCGGTCTAGGGACCGACGGGTATGTAAGTCCTGACATGGTCATGGCCGAGGGGCGCGAAGTGGGGGGGGGATTCTCTGGCAGCACTTTAGCAGCTTGGCCGGAGAAGAGCTAAGATGGAGATGGGGCCCTGCGTGGTTGCTACGGCAACCAGGTGCCTTTTCTTGAGGATAATTCTTCCCTAGGCTCCATGTCTGGTTTCTCTCTGGTCTGCGAAAGCCAGAACGTGATGCTTGGCAGAGCCGAATAGGTGTTGGCTTGTTACCAGCTGCTGTGCTCCAAGGAAACCGAACTGGGCCTTCAAAGGACAGGGCAGCCTTGCCCAATGAGTACAGGGAAGCTGAAGTCTCCCTCAACACATAAATGCCCACCGCTTCCAGCACAGGTGGGGCTGGTGACTTACGGGCATGACACGACCCCCCCTACACCCATCAGTTGCTCTTCGCATCATTTGCCTTGCAAGAGCGCTTCGGGCCCACTGTGTCAGGCGCTGCACAGAAATTATCAGTCCCTGCCCCAAGGAGCTTCCAACCTGGACAGACAAAGGCTCAGTGAGGGGCCCCAGGTCGCCCAGCAAGTCAGTGGCAGAGCTGGGACTAGAAGTCTGGTCTCTGGAGACCCTTGTCCAGAGGTCCCTGGCCTCCCTTCCTCTCCTGCCACCGCCGCTCACAAGGACACTGGTGCTGTGCCAGCCATCGGCACATCTGAGTGAGGGGCTCCCTGCGTAAGAAAGACCCGCTCAATAATTCATGCCGATTGTTATACAAAGTGCAGGCTGGCGGGTCCCCGAGGCAGGCGCTCTGACTAGAGGATGTAGGCTGGTAATGAGGGCCAACGGGGGAGTCAGCAAACAATGCCGGGAAAAGCACTAGATAAAGATTCACATAATACTTCTCCTTTGAGCAGCCAGGCAGCTGGAGAGCCTCATGGGGAGGTTGGATGAG